ATTTTGTAATCTGTTTCAGCCATCTTATGTGATTTACGCCGTGAAAAAAAAGTTGATGATCGTCGTGCTTTTCTAGTTAAAATAAAAAATAACTTCTTTACAAGCCGTAAAATGCGTTTATTTACAGAGATTTAATGTTAGACTTGTATACTCGTTTTATTTATCTTAAAGGAACAAATGCTACCAATTATTTGTATTTCTCAATACTTATGTGACTTGTGTTTAATAAGTAAAGGTTTCTTTTATGACAACCAAAAATATTTATTACTTATATTTAAAATCGGTAATACAGTTTACGGATTTTAATATAATTAATAATACGCGCAATTTGTCCACAAAAGAAAATTAGATCTGTATTAAAAGAAATAGTTTATAATATTTTATTTAATTAAAGTATTGTTGTAAAGTTAAGTATTCATTAAGCATTTTGCACAAAAACTAAATATATATTAAGTACATAGTAAAACATTACAACATATGTACATAAGATTATAATGTATTTAATGTTAAGTTTAACAAAAGATTTATTGATTAAGACTATTACTAATACTTATAAAACAATAAAAGTTACGGTAGTTTTACTTTATTATGTTTTAACTATAAAATAATTTTTGTTACAAAAGTTTTATTTATAATAAAAATAACATTTGCACTTTATTTCTGTTGGTACTTTTAATAGTTCTTAAGTTTTTAACAATGTACGTTATTTTCTACCAAGTTTATATGTGAACATGTTTATATGTACAATAATGTGATCATGTTTTTTTGCTGTATCTACTACAAATACTCTAAGAATAAATGTGTTATCTTACACGNAACTTTATTGCTTGCTACTTTTATCGTGTCTTTTTGAAAAATACAATGTTACAGTAATTTTATTTCTATAATAATATTTGGTGTTATAAACTTTCTCTATGAAAACTTCTCGAAATGTACAAATAATGTCATTTGTCGTAATTGTTATCTATTGTTTTATTTAGACTCATAACCATTTTTATAATACTACAGAAGACTCTAAAACTCTACATATATCTTTCTTAATGGACCTATTGAAACGTCATGTAACATGCAGTACACTAGATGCGCGCGCACTCGAACTTTAAAAAATAATAGATATTTACTTACAAATACAATACGTTAAGACTTTATCGACAGACGCGCTATCAGAATTATTGCGTCATTCTATCTTTGTATTATATCTAATATGCAATAAACATAGGGCGAGATGCAATGGCGCAGATATAGCGCTCTTTTGTACCACAACTAACTCTACAGATTTACATCGAAGTATCACTCAAAATCGAAGATGATAAGAAGCCCTGATTAAAAATCACTATATTCTACTATTTGATTTGTCTTTGTGTATGTGGCAATCTTTACTGAGTTCAGCAAGAAAAGAAAATCGGTCTTTGCATAAGAAAAGTAAAGAGTGCAAAGTGGTCATAGCGGTTTGTGTTAAATTGGCGGGATACTTGCTAACATCCAATGGCTGTAAAGTAAGATGGCTTTCTGATACGAGATATGCGCAAAACAGACAAGTTTTTGTCCGTTTCATTTTTTATTGAACTTAGTGTAGTTTTCAGGCGTCTATTTGCTTTGATTTCTGTATATGTCACAGAAAAACCTGAGAACAGCCAACCCATGAAACTTTTTTCCGACATACTCGCAATTGCTGCTTTCAACATTACATATCTATAAAAATAGATGTATGAAAAACTTACAAAGCAACAATCACTTTCAATCGTAGACAGTACAAATGTAATCCTCTTTGAGTCTGTGCTGCAATCACTTTTAAATAGTTTCAAAATTTGTTTATAGTTTATTCAATGTAGTTGTTTCAAAAAAACAAATATTGAACTGACTATCTCAAATAAAACATCTCGTATATGAACGTTTTCGCATATTGAACAGTGAAAATTTACATTTCAAAAGTCATATTTTTATCACTAACCGTATTTCTATCAGTAGAGATACCTTTCGTAGACCGCGAATTCAATAGAACGCGATTTACAAATTATAATGGAGACTAAGTACTTCGTTTCTTCAGTATGCGTGCTTATACGAGCTTTGTATATCGCGATTTATAAAACGCGGCATTTCTGAAACAGAATATCGCCGAACTACAAAAGCTATCTTTATACAGTAGCG